ATTTGTTAAAATCTAAAAATGAAGTATTTAATTGTGTTACTGCCTTCTTTAATATTTTGTTCAATAAATTTGAAGATAAAATTAAATAGGTAAGGTCTGATAATGGTACTGAGTTTTTAAATCATAATATGAAGTCCTTTTTTCAAATTAAAGTTGTTATTCATCAGACTTCATGTGTTGACACACCTTAACAAAATGGGGTTGTGGAAAGAAAAATAGGCATATCTTGAATGTTGCAAGGTCTTTAATGTTTCAGTTTGGATTGTCATTAAGGTTTTGGGGTGATGCTATTTTAACTTCAGTTTTTTTAATCAATAGAACACCCACTTCAGTTTTCAATGGAGCTTCTCCTTATGAACTTGTGTATGAATCTTTTCCTAGTTTTAATAAACTTCTTGTTTTTGGGTGTCTTTGTTTTGCGACAAAACTGAACAATTTGGATAAATTTTCTGAATGTGCAGAAAAATGTGTTTTTCTTGGATATTCTTCTAAACAAAAAGGTTACAATGTTTTAAGTCTTGAATATAATCTTGTTTTTGTTTCCAGGGATGTAAAATTTTATGAATCAGTATTTCCATTCAAGCTTAGGTCTTCATTTGGTGATAAATCTAGTTTTTCAGCTGACCCAAGTTACCCATTTTCCTGTGATGAGCCTGTAATATCTAGTTATCTTGAAAAAAAACATTAGTATAAGTGATTTAGGAGTAACCCTCAATCTGATGGTGCTGGAGTAGTCCGCAATCTGGTTGAGACCCCCTCTAGTGAGGTCAGCAACCAGAGTGACGAGGCACATGTGTCTGAGATTGATGTGGATGTTCCTGCCTCATCTACTGTGGGTGAGGATAGTAGTTTAGAACCAAATAATCCTTCTGATGGTCACTTGCTAGGAGTCACTCGATCTGGTAGGAATGTACGTTTACCAGTTAGATTTAATGACTTTGTTGTTGAAAGTTCTCATAAATATGGTTTAGAAAGGTTTGTGAATTATTATTATTTTTAACTAATGAGAGTAGATGTTTTGTGTCTATCCTTAATAAAACTTATGAACCTAAAACTTATTCTAAAGCTTCATTTGATCCTAATTGGATCAAAGCAATGAATGATGAAATGAAAGCCTTATACAAAAATCATACAATGGATATAGTTGATCTTCCTATAGATAGAAAGACAATTGGTTGTCTTTGGATTTATAAGATTAAATATAGATTAAATGGTGAGGTTGATATATATATATATATATATATATATATATATATATATATATATATATAAGGCTAGACATGTTGCAAAAGGGTATAATAAAAGAGAAGGTATAGATTATGAGGAGACTTTTTCTCCAGATGCTAAAATTGTTACACTCAGAATTGTTATATGTATTACTATAAATAATTCTTGGCCTCTATACCAACTTGATGTTAATGATGCATTTTTGTATGGTGATTTAATTAAGGATGTTTATATGACTTTACATGAAGGGTATCATACTAAAAATGATGCTAGGGTGTGTAAACTTCTAAAGTCATTATATGGACTAAAACAGGCTCCAAGAAAATGGAATAAAAAATTATGTTCTTCTTTATCTAGTTTGGGTTTTATTCAAAGTGTAACTGATTATTCATTATTTTTCAGATCCAAAAATAACACTACTGTTATTTTATTAGTTTATGTATATGATATAATCTTGACTAGAATTGTAGTATAGAAATTGAAAATGTCAAATTGTTCCTTAAGTCTCGATTTAGAATAAAATATTTAGGTTTGTTAAAATATTTTTTGGGAATTGAAGTTTTACCTGCAAATAATGGTGTTTGTTTAAATCAGAGAAATTATTGTTTGGAACTTTTACATGAGTTTGGAATGTTAGGATGTAAACCTGTTAAAACACCTTTGGAGTTTATTAGCGATATAACTTAAAAATATATTAGATTATGTTGCTTTATTTAATTTCATATATCTTAGGACAGTTGTTGTATTGTACCTATATATGTATTTGATTGCTATCAATAAACATAAAAAGGAAAATTAATCTTGACATGGTATCAGACAGGTTCTAACCCTACCCATTGTCTCTTCTCTTCTTCTCCTTTTTATTTCCTTCTGATCTGATGGCCTCATCCTCAACTATTGAATTGCCTCTTGCAACCATCCTACATCTGCTCACCATTAAACTCACATTAACAAACTACCTCTTGTGGAGAAATCAGATTCGACCCTTGCTGGCTTATCAAAACCTTTTAACCCATGTCGATGAAACCAACCTTTTCCCATCCTCGACCCATGAAGTTGACGACAAGTCTGTCTCTAACCCCTCCCATCAATCATGGATTAATGTTGATCAATGGGGGTTACTGATCATTCAATCCTACTTGACTGAAGAAGTTATGCCTGGAACCCTCAATCTCTCCACCTCTCATGCGATATGGTGAGCACTCGAGCAAGCCTACAGTCACAATTTAATGGATCATGTCCAATCTCTCCGTGACTCCCTGTGTCAAATTCACAATGATAGCTCTCCTGTTTCTGAATTTGGAAGAAAGTTTAAAATTATTTGTGATCAATTTTCTGTTGTTGGGCATCCTGTTGAGGAGTCTGACAAAATGCATTGGTTTCTTTGTAGAATTGGATCTGCTTTTGAGACTTTTTCCACTTCCCAGCGGGCTATCAAACCCGCCCCATCATTCTGCAACCTGTTGTCTTATGCTGAAAGTCATGAACTTTTCATGACTTCCATTCACACCACTGTTGCTGCTATACCTGTTGCGTTCTCGGCCAACGCATCCACTCCTAACTTACGTCGATCTTCTTCTCACAGCCCCCATGGACGTGGCTCTCAATGTAGAGGAGGTTATTTGGGCGGTAGAGGTCGTGGTTGCCGTCCCCCACACTGTCAATTATGTCGCAAAAATGGTCACTATGCTTCACATTGCCCTGATCTCGCCTCTTATGCCAAACCTGATCCTTCCATCGATGCAAATATGGTCCATGCTTTTCAATCAAAGTTCACCACAAACCCGAATTCTCCATCAAACTTGGACAACTCATCTACTTATACTGGTCAGGAAAAAGTTGTTGTTGGAAACAGTAATACTTTACATATCTCGGGTATTGGTAACTCATCTATTTCTAATGATCTTGCACTTTTAGATGTTCTTATGGTGTTTCATATTACCAAGAATCTCCTTTCCATTAGTAAATTAACAAATGATTCTCCTGTGGATGTTATTCTTTCTAATAACTATTTTTCCATTCAGAATCAAAGAGCCAAGGATATAATAGCAAGCGGTCAATGTGAAGAAGGACTTTACATTCTTGAGCAAGGGAATAAGGCGTTTTTAGCTGCTTTGAAAAATAAGAGGACTAGTGCCTCATTTGAACTTTGGCATAATAGATTAGGGCATGTAACTTTTGATACTGTCACTTTATTGGAAAAATCGGGTTCTTTATCTATTACATCTATTTTACCTACCCCGAGAATTTGTTCTTCTTATCAACTTTCTAAAAATAAACGCGTACCTTTTGAAGATAACTTTAAACACTCATTGCATGTTCTTGATCGTATTCATTGTGACTTATGGGGACCATCTCCGGTTGAATCCACAGATAGATATCTATATTATGCAGCCTTTATTGATGACTTTTCCAGGTTCACTTGGTTCTATCCATTGAAACGCAAATCAGAATTTTCTCAAATTCTCATCAATTTCATCACATTTGTGCAAACACAATTTCCTTGCAAAGTCAAAACGTTTCAGAGTAACGGGGGTATGAAATTTATCAATGATCGTGTTAGTCAAATTTTTGTTGCAAACGGAACACACCACCGGGTTTCTTTTCCGTACACTCCACAACAAAATAGAAGGGTCGAACGCAAACAACATCACATTATCGAAACCGGTCTTGACATGCTTTTTAATGCAGACGATTCAGCATCTTTTTAGTTGGATGTTTTCACGTTGGCTATCTACATCATTAATCGACTTCCCACAAAGCTTCTTCACCATAAGAGTCCTTTTGAGCTCCTCTACTCCATGGTCCTTAATTATAATGTTTTTCGGGTGTTTGGTTGTAGAGTTTTCCCATATTTACAAGATTATTCACCTCACAAGTTGGCTCCTCGTAGTGCTCCATGTATTTTTATCAGGTATAATACCATTTATAAAGGCTATCGTGGAACAACCCCCTAGATTTATCGATGAACAATTTCTATTGCATGTATGTCGCCTTAAAAAGACTCTATATGGTCTTAAGCAAGCCCCGCGCGCATGGTTTCAATGCATCAATGCCTTTTTACTTGATCTTGGTTTCTTGTGCAGTCGGGCTGACACATCTTTATTTATTTTCAAACGAGACACTACGTTACTCTATCTCCTTGTTTATGTCGACGACATCATCCTTACAGGTAACGACACTCATCTTATTAGTAACTTCATTACTCATCTAAACAATGAATTTGCTACTAAGGATATTGGCAAACTAAACTGCTTTCTTGGCTTGGAAGTAACTTATACCGCTCATGGTCTTTTCCTCACACAAGCCAAATATGCTCATGACATTCTCACTCGTGCCGGTCTTTTAGATTCCAAACCCACAACCACACCCTTATCCGCTACAGATTATTTGGTCATTCATGGCACTCCATACTCAGATCCTACTCTGTATCGATCACTTGTTGGTGCTTTGCAATAACTAACCGTCACACGACCTGATATCTCTTTTGCTGTAAATGAAGTGAGTCAATTTCTTCAAACACCAATAACTGATCATTAGCTGTCAAACGAATTTTACGTTATGTTAAAGGTACTATTTCTTATGGGCTTCACTTTATAAGACCTCAAACCTCATCTGTTGTTAACTATTCTGATTCCGATTGGGCACGGTGTATTGAAACTCGTCGGTTTACTTATGGCTACTCTATTTTTCTTGGCGGGAATCTAGTTTCTTAGAGTGCTAAAAAGCAACCTACCGTTTCCCGTTCAACCTGCGAATCCAAGTATCGTGCCATGACAAACACTGCCTCCGAAATCATTTGGGTGGCACACTTATTACGCGAACTTCATGCCTTGCCAACCACAGTTCCCACTCTTCTCTGTGATAACAAAAGCGCCTTATTTCTCACTCACAACCCTATCTCTCACAACCGGGCTAAGCACATTGACATTGACTACCATTTTGTTCGCGAACTTGTTGCCTCTATTCAGCTTAATACCAAGTTCATTCCTACACATCTTCAACTCGCCGACATTTTCACCAAAAGTCTTGTGAGACCACTGTTTGAACGTTTTCGAACCAAGCTTCACGTTGGCCCGCCACCGATCAGCTTGACGGGGGGTATTAGCGATATAACTTAAAAATATATTAGATTATGTTTCTTTATTTAATTTCATCTATCTTAGGATAGTTGTTGTATTTTACCTATATGTATTTGATTGCTATCAATAAACGTAAAAAGGAAAATTAATCCTAATTGAGGTAAATTTTGTTTTTAGTAGAGATTGTGATGATAATTCTGAGTATGTTGGTAATATTACTGAGTTCCATAAACTTATAGGAATATTGATTTATCTTACTATAACTAGACCTAATATAAGCTATGTTGTTCAAGTTTTAAGTCAATTTATGCATAAGCCTCGAAAGTCTCATCTAAATTTTGCTTTTAGATTACTAAGGTACTTAAAAGATTGTCTTGGGAAAGGTATTTTGTTCTCTAAATCAAATTCTTTTGATATTGTTGGTTTATGGATGCTGATTTGGCTAAGTGCCTGTCAACTACAAGGTTTGTATCAGGTTATGTGGTGTATTTAGGTAATTTTCTTGTTTCTTGGAAAAGTAAGAAATAAAGCACATTAACTAGATCTTCAACTAAGTCTGAATACCATGCCTTGGGTTCTGTTACACGTGAGGTGTTGTGGATTTTAAAAAGTATGAATGATCTTGGTTATAGAGGATTAACTCCTGTTAAATTGTTTTGTGATAATGAATCAGCTATCAAGTTAGCATTAAATACAGTTTTTCATGAGAAAACAAAACATTTTGAAATAGATGTTCATTTCATTAGAGAAAAGATTGAAAATGGAATTTTAAAAATTGTTAAAATTGATTCATCTAATCAAAATGTAGATATTCTAACTAAGTCTTTAGCTTCTTTACAACATGACTTTTTATCAAAAGGCTTGGTATTTTAAGTATGTTTGCAAGTAAGTGATGTTTTATTGTCTCAAATGATAAGTTTGAGAAGGGGTGTTAAAAGTATTGCAATAATTACAAACTTATCATTTGTGTAATTAGATTGTGATGCAGAGTATATTGTGTTAAGTTATATTAGTTGTAGGGGTTGCATATGTATGTTTGTGTATGTAGATGGAATATGTTCGCGGGTTGCTAACCCGAACTTGATCCATGGGCTATCCATGGGTTGTATCTTGCCCCGGGTATTTAAAGTGCAGGTGAAGCTTATTTCAGTCATAACTCAAGATTTTTCTAGTTCATATTCTCTCGTATATTCTCTCCGTCTTCAGAAGAGGGTTTTCATATTAGGGTTTCTGTATAAACACATTTAGGTGTAGTTTTTGATTCCTTGTAATCATCTGAGGGTTTTGAGTGTGATTTTAGTGAGATGTTTCTTTTATATTTGTATGATGAAAACCAACTGTTTCATAGTGAATGAAATGTTGATGTTGGGAATATGTGAAGTTCTTGAGTTGGTACTTTGTTACATACTATTACTGGTTTGTTGTGGTCGGAACTATTGGCTCCGTCGTGTAATCTGATTCAGGGAAAATAATTGTTCATATTCACAATCGTGTTGATTCCTCAAAGGAAAAAAAGCCAAATCTTAGTATACACTTTCATATGTGTTGGAGGGGTGGTAGCCTATGTAAAGTTATTTAGGGTTTAGTAACTTAGATAAGAGAGATAAAGAGATTGTAACTGGTTTAGTTTAAATCTGTCATTTTTGTTTAGTTTAAGTCTGTCATTTTTGTTTCACGGAGCTTTATACAATCGAGGTAACGTGTGCGTGATATTTAAGGTGGAAAAGGATGTTTGCACTTTAGCATTAAAGTGTTGTAAATTATTAATTTTTTGATAATAAATAAATAAATATTAGAACTAAAAGAAATAAAACAAAAGATTAATAAAATGTAATATAATCATTTTAATTCGGTTAGGAAACGCAACAAAAATATATAATAAGAACGGTGAAAATTAAAAACAAAAGTGAGGAATCAAACACCAATCTATCCAAATCACGGGACCATGTAATTTACCCTTATTCTAAAAGAATGTTTTTTACTCCTTTGTTTCTACATCTCGTAAAACCAACCCGGTTAGTTTCCATCGCTCCACAGGGGATTCGACCCTGCTTTCTCGACCCCTGAAAACCTCGCCGGTGATCAATCTCATCTTCCTGTCGATTCCTATGTTCCTATTCAGTCTTCACACACGAAACCCAAACCCAAGCGATCATCGTTACCCCCCCCCCCCCCCCTCTCTGATTGGTTATTCGATTTGTGGATTCTTATTCGGTCTTCTTTTAGCGTTCAGTTTTCTGACTTTTGAACTGAGTTAAGGTCGTGACCGGTTTCTTTATTCTGCTTTTGTAGGTTTCATTGCCGGTTTTGGATTTCACATTTGTTTGCTGGAAAATGGTAGGGTGGCAGGATTTACTCAGCCGGATTTGCTATTCAAGGTAAAAGCAATTCCTATCGGTTAAAAGTTAGTGTTGCTATTTTTCGCAATTTTGTATTGGAAGAAATAATTCCGAATATATTCATTTTATATGGAAACTTTAGTAAATCCCTTTTAATACTAAATCTAATATTCGAAAATTTAAGAACAAGTGGTCCTTTACGTGTCCTGCATATAGTTGAATTTTCTATAGAAAAAAAGATCAATAAAAATGATTCTTTCCGTGATGCAAATCCAATCTCTAGTATAAACAACAATAAGATCAGTAGTTCTGTGGATCCATTTCATCCCCATCTCTACTATATTCTCTGCACTTATCATAAGCAATGGCTGAAATCGTTCTTTCTGCCTTCTTAACGGTGTTGTTTGAAAAGCTGGCATCAGAAACCCTGAAGAAGCTTGCTCGCTCCAAGGGAATCGATTCCCAGCTCAAGAAATTGAAGAGGTCATTAATTCAGATCAAAGCTCTTCTTAATGATGCTTCTAAGAAGGAAATAAGTGATGAAGCTGTTAAAGAATGGCTAAATGGTCTCCAACATTTGGCTTATGATATAGACGACCTACTGGACGATCTAGCAACAGAAGCCATGCGCCGAGAGTTCAGCACCAGCAAGGTAAGAAAGCTAATCCCAATACGCTGCACAAATTTCTTACTACGTACTAGGATACATGGGAAGTTAGATTATATTACAACCCAATTAGAAGGATTAGTAGAGGAAAAAAATAGTCTCGGTTTAAGTGTGATAGGAGAAAGCCCAAAACATGTGAATAGAAGATTAGAGACCTCTTTGATAGACGCATCTAGCATTGTTGGGCGTGAAGGTGATAAGGATGCGTTGCTCCACCAACTATTGGGTGATGAACCATGTGATAAGAACTTCAGCATCGTCCCAATAGTTGGTATGGGTGGCATAGGTAAAACCACTCTAGCTAGACTTCTGTATGACGAAATGCAAGGGAATGATCACTTTGAACTCAAAGCATGGGTTTGTGTTTCAGATGAGTTTGATATTTTTAGTATAAGCAGAACTATATTCCAGTCAATAGACGGTGGAAACCGAGAATTTAAGGATTTAAATCTGCTTCAAGTTGCTTTGAAAGAGAAGATCTCAAGGAAACGATTTCTTCTCGTTCTTGATGATGTTTGGAGTGAAAGCTATGCCGATTGGGAAATTCTAGAACGCCCATTTCTTGCAGGGGCACCTGGAAGTAAGATTATCATGACAACCCGGAAGCTGTCGTTGCTAACCCAACTGGGTTACAATCAACCTTACCATGTTTCGGTTTTGTCACATGACAATGCTCTATCGTTATTTTGTCAACATGCCTTAGGTAAAAGTAACTTTGAGTCACATCTGACACTAAAACCATATGGTGATGGTATTATTGAAAAATGTGGCGGTTTACCATTAGCTTTGATTGCACTTGGGAGGTTGTTAAGGACAAAAACAGACAAAGAAGAATGGAAGGAGGTGTTGAATAGTGAGATATGGGGGTTAGAAAAGGTAGATGAAATTGCACCGGCTCTTAGACTAAGCTATAATGATCTCTCTGGCTCTTTGAAGCGGTTGTTTGCATACTGCTCCTTGTTCCCAAAAGACCATGTGTTTGATAAGGAGGAGTTGATTCTGTTGTGGATGGCAGAAGGGTTTTTGCGCCAATCAAGCACAAGCAAGTCAGTGGAACGCTTGGGTCGTGAAGGTTTTGACGAGTTGTTGTCGAGGTCATTTTTTCAACATGCCCCAGAAGACAAATCGTTGTTTGTGATGCATGACTTGATGAATGACTTGGCCACATCTGTTGCTGGAGATTTTTTTTCAAGGTTTGACATTGAGATGAAGAAGGAACTTCATCAGGAGGCTTTGGAAAAGCACCGCCATATGTCATTTGTTTGTGAGAATTATATGGTTCAGAAAAGGTTCGAGGCACTCAAAGGAGCTAAAAGTTTGAGAACATTCTTAGCACTGTCTTTTGGGGTGATAGAAAACTGGACAACATTTTACTTATCAAACAAGGTCCTGGATGACTTACTGCAAGAGTTTCCATTGTTAAGGGTCCTCAGTTTGCGTTATCTTAGCATAAGCGAGGTGCCTGAATCGATTGGCAGTTTGAAGCACTTGCGGTATCTTAATTTATCTCGAACTCAAATCACACATTTACCGGATAGTGTCTGCAACCTTTACAATTTACAGATGTTAATTGTTTCTGGCTGTAAGAGTTTGGAAAAGTTGCCCGGGAACTTCTCAAAGCTTAAAAATTTGCGGCATTTTGACATGAGAGATACTCCAGAGTTGAAGAAGATGCCGTTAGGGGTTCTTGAGTTGAAAAGCCTACAAACTCTTTATGGGATCGTTATTGAAGGAGACGATGGATTTTCAATCAGCGATCTTAAAGATTCAAAGGATCTCCAAGGGAGAATTTCCATTAAGGGGCTGGAAAAAGTGAGAGGCTCAATGCATGCACAGAAAGCGAACTTATCTGAAAAGAGGCTAAGTGAGTTAGAGTTGGAATGGAGTGATGTATTTGATGGTTCTAGAAAAGAAACACTTGAAAAGGAGGTGCTTAATGCACTAAAGCCTTGTAGTGATAATCTAAAAAGCCTCGAAATTGTGTCATATGGAGGTATAGAGTTTCCAATTTGGGTTGGGGGTCCCTCTTTTGGTCGGTTGACTTGTGTCTCAATAATTGGTTGTAAAAAGTGTACATCTCTACCTCCACTTGGGCATTTACCATTACTTAAGGAGTTGTATATTGCTGGGATGGATGATGTACAAGCTGTAGGTCCGGAGTTGCTTGGGACTGGTTTTGCATTCCCGTCACTTGAAAATCTAACTTTTCGAGATATGGTTGGGTGGGAGGCATGGTCAACCAGTGGTGGGGTTGTCGATACAACGTTTCCATGCCTTCAAAAGCTTTGTATTGAAAGTTGCCCTAATTTGGTTAGAGTCTCAGTTGAATCACTGCCTTCATTGAGGGTTCTGAAAATAGTTGGTTGTGGTCATGAGGTGTTAAGAAGTTTGGTTTGTGTAGCTTTATCGATCACGATTTTGAATATAACTTCTATTAAAGGACTTAATGATCAGGTGTGGGGAGGTGTTATAGAGTATCTTGGGGCAGTTGAAGAAGTATGTATTACAAGTTGCAACGAAATAAGATACTTGTGGGAATCAGAAGCAGAAGTAAGTAAGTATCTTGTGAATCTAAGGAAGTTGGATGTATGGAATTGTTCAAATTTGGTGAGTTTAGGAGAGAAAGAGGAGGAGGATAATTGTGGGAGCAACCTAACATCTCTGACAAGCTTATCTGTAATGGATTGTGATAGCTTGGAGCATTGCAGCTGTCCAAAAAGCCTCAAGTCGCTTACCATCGAGAATTGTAATAAATTATTGGAAAAGGAGTTGGTAGGAGGACGAGAGGAGCCTCTGATCAACTCAAACATACTCATGCTTGAATCTGTATTCGTAACTGATTGGCCAAATCTAAAATCAATCACTGAATTGAGTTCCTTCAATCATCTCACCGAACTCGAAATAAGCAATTGTCCAAATTTGGAGTCATTTCCTGACCATGAGTTGCCAAAACTCAATGTGTTAATAAGTCTGGCAATAGTATATTGTGAGAGTATGGATGCTTCCTTTTCTGGTGGGCTTTGGCCTCCAAAATTGTGTGGACTTACTATAGGGAAGTTGAAGAAGCCCATTTCAAAGTGGGGCCCACAGGCTTTTCCAGCCTCACTTGACGACCTGACTTTAATAGGTGGACAATCGGAAGATGTGAGTAATATCAGTCAGTTGTCCCATCTTCTTCCTTCATCTCTTACTGAGCTTCGCGTAATCGAATTTGAGAAAGTGGAATCAGTTTCAAAGGGACTCCAACACCTCACCTCCCTCCAGCATCTCTCAATTATTGAATGCCCTAAGGCAATAGATCTACCAGAAATGTTGCTGCCTTCACTTTTGAGTTTGGAAATAAGGGGATGCCCAAATCTGAAAGAAATGAGTAGTAAAAGAGGCTCCTACTGGCCCCGCGTCTCACGTATTCCCTGCATTGACATATCCTGAGGAGTTAAAAACTTAATCTGAAGGTATGCTTCTCCCTCCACCTTTGATATGTTATAAATATAATAATTGATTTCGTTTTCTTTCAATCAACAGAATGCAAATCTTTTATCAATATAAGCATGTATATAATAAAACATATTTTTTGCAACCCAATATATGGTTGCTAACATGGATATGCAATTGCTTCTTTTTTTGTTTTCTAGTTCTTCGATATGATTGAAGTTGTGTACATGGAAAGCCCACCATGAATTCCAAAATAAGTCAAAATGGTTAACAAATGTAAATACTTCATTTTTTAAGTAAAACAGCTGATTCGAAATTCTAAAATAAAATTTGAACTACGATTCATCATAGAGTTTGTATTATTCATTGAAGTTGTTTGATTTAGATTTTGTAATCTTTGTACCAATAATTAAATAAAAATGTACAAATGATGAATCGCTTTACACATGAGTTTTTTTTTTTTTTTTAACTAATGTATTTCCTGATAGCTACCGATTCCTTATCCATTTAAAAATGTTATTTTTATGTTTTTTATTCAATGATCCATATAAACTATGAGTAATACTAACTAAGCACATTACCATCTATTGATTTTGATTTATTCTGCAGTCTCTGTGTTTGAGATTTTGACCGGAAACAGAACAAAAACATGCATGGGAGACCATCTGCTCTTTCACGATGTTGAAGTCACAACGATTTGTACTCTTTGCGATGTAATTTTGACTTTTATCGGAAGTTGTATGACTTTAGCAACTCGTCTTGCTACTTTTGAGAAATTGAACTCACTTTCATTGGGACTCCAACACCTCACCTCCCTGCAACATTTTACCATTGACAACTGCCCAAAACTGTTGCTTCCTTTGTTTTTGAGTTTGAGAATGTATAGATACCAAAACCCAGCATAAAGTTTGTTTATCAACTAGTATTTGAGCCCGTGCTTTGCTGCGGGTTCTTACGTGTGTTTTTCATGTGTATATCATTGTTTCCAAAAATAGTAAAAGTTTAAAAGAAATGAGCATTTTGATTTATCAAAAGTTCAGAAGAGTTTAGAGATTATTTTTGAAAGTTCAGAAGAGTTTAGAGATTATTTTTGTATGATGGATGTTTTTGAATAATTCACAAAAATGTAGGGACCATGAATATAGAAAGAAGTAGTACATTTTACATTTTAAGTAGTGATTTTGTGAGTAGTTTTTTGCCTCCGCACGTTGCTACAGGTCCAATCTTTTTTTTTAATTGAATTTAATAATTTTATTGATAAAAAGCTAAAAGCTGCAAATGGCAAATAAAAATAAAAAAGATATCTATTGTAAAGGTGTAAGAACATTATATATATATATATATATATATATATATATATATATATATATATATATATATATATATATATATATATATAGGGAAATGATCAAATAAGAACACCTAAAAGGTTGAGAATGCGAGAACAATTCTGGACCAATCAATATATAAGAGCATATAAGTAATTGTATATTTTAATTAAATTAAAATAAAATAAAATCAATCAAATTTCCTTAAATTTATGATCAGTTACCAAAAAAGGAGATATTTGATTTTTTATTGTTCTTATTAATGAAATATAAAAAACATTTTTATCAAAAAAAAAAAAATTAAAACCAGAAAAATTTAACTTTTTCTCTTAAATTTTTTTTTTTCTCATATTTCACGTTTTTTTTTAAATTAATAGAAATCCAACCCCAGATCAATACATTTGTATTCATAAACGATTTTTTTTTTCAAAAAAAACTAATAGTACTGTCATCACAAATGAATGCATATCAATTTACAAGTAATTCACTGCCTTTCTTTTAATTAACTAAAAATAAAAGGGGTGTAAAAATTATCATTTCTTCATAAAAGAGTACCTTTAATCATAAATAAATACACTTATTTATACATGATTACATTGCTATTTACAAATGAATACATTGTTATTAACAAATGAATACCCTGGTATTCACAAATGAATAAAACAATACCTCTAATCATAAATAAAATACACTCATTCACACATGATTACACTGCTATTTACAAATGAATACATTGTTATTAGCAAATGAATACCCTGCTATTCATAAATGAATACCCCTCTCACGCATATCATCAAACAGCTTATGTGCACAACCTTTTACCTTGAATCTAATTACAACATTGTGTGGCTATCTCTTCCATCAATTGTAAGGGCTGTCACTTGAGCCTTCAAAGACCCACTTCAGCCTATCGAGTTCGGCCAAATCAAACAAGAACAAAAAAGAATAGCCTATTGAGTTATGCCAAATCAAACAAGAACAAAAAAAAGGAGCCCTTACCTATTTTTGAATCGTTGCTGCCCTTCTCAATCACCAAACAACCCAATATCGGGGCTTTTGTCACTGGAGGCGGAAACCAATGGCAGACCCCACATCCCGCTGCTTCCATTCTCTTTTCTTCTTCTCTTTGATCCAGCCAATCACCAAAGATGCCCCATCTTCTATCCACCGAGACCCACAACCCACCCCTCGTTGCCTCCTCCTTTCCTCCTCTTCAGCCTCGTCGGCCACGGAGACGAAATAACATAAACTGATGTCTTGAATGAAATAACATAAATAACTGATGCCTTGGTTGTTTACGCTAACCCTAGCGCCGATCTTCGCTTGATCTTCGCTGGACTTTCTTCTTCTGAAGCAGAAGCCGATGTCAGATCGTCGATAATTGTTGTGGAACTAGAATCCAATGTCACTGATTTGATACGTGGATTCAAACCTGAAGTTGAAGTAAGACGGCAGTGGATCGATTAATGGGAAGATAGGGAAGAAAAGGGAACCGAATTCATTGAGAGAGGCGTTTATTTTTAAACCCTAAAGAGAGAGCGAAGGAGATAAAGATACATGATTATGAACGGGAAGAGGAGAGAGGGTGCAAAATTGTAGGAAATATGTAAATTTGCAGTTCCAATTATGCCCTTCTGGCAATTTAAAAGTTACACTTTAATGTCCGTAGTTTTAGAATTTTTCATAAATCGCCCGTTTAATAATAACCTTAGATCTAAATATTTAAATGGTCCAGATCTGTTCTCGCGTTCTCAACCTTTTAGGTGTTCTCATTTGATCCTACTCCTATATATATATATATATATATATATATATATATATATATATATATATATATATATATATATATATATATAAAATCCAAGGGACCTTATGAATAGTAATCTTTTTTTGCTTTAGGTTTTTACCACAAGTATTTGATGAATTTGACATTTTTAGTCCTCGAAGTGAAAACTTTTACACTTTTAAGTTTTGACTAAGTTTTTGTGCCTTTAGACTTTTGCCACAAATCTTTAGTGACTTTGACACTTTTCATCCTTACAGTCAAATCTTTTATATTTTGATGTTTTTGCCACAAATTTTTAGTGACTTTGACACTTTTCAGCCTTGCAGTAAAAACTTTTACATTTTGACATAAAAAAATATAAAAAACCTCCTTTAGACTTTTGCCACCATATTTTTCCAACTTTGGCAACTTTCACATTATAGCCACAACATTTTTCGTTTTTTTTCCATCAATGTTCTTTCTTTCGGTTGTACACTTTTGACATCTAATTTTAGGGGCTTTCGGTTTTCTCCCTTATTTGTGGCGATTTACACTTTCAACACATCTTTTACACCCCGCTCCCGAGTTGTAGCAAAGAAAAGAAGAGAAGAGAAAAGAAAGTAAGGAGAGAAAAGAAAGGAAAAAGAAATTGTCATTTGTGCTTCCGAGTTGGAGAGAAATGGAAGGAAAGTTAGACATTTTGTTCTTTCTTTTCAAATCCTCCCAAATCGGGAGGAAAGGTAGGAGGGAAAGTTTTCGTTCCATTTCCTTCCACTTCCTTCCTTTAATGAAACTCGGGAGCACCATTCTCTCTTGCTTTCCTCTCATTTCCTCCCATTTCCTTTCTTTTCTCTCTTTAAGTTGAACTCGGGAGCGGGGTGTTAATGTTTGCCGATATTTAACTTCTATGACATAGTCTAAAAGCGGCGGAGCCGCGTGTCCTTTTGTAGTTTAGATTATATGCGTAAAAAGCAAAAAGACAAAGGAAAAAGGTTATAAATGGTAATATTGTAGTTGTTGGTAGAAAAATATATAAGGTTGGTAACATTGTATATACCGATCTTGCAACATATATTTACAAAAACGTAGGTTTTTAGGATAAAAATGAAAAAAAAATAATGTTTAAGGGCCGCAAATGGCAAGTAAAAATAAAAAGGTATCTATTGTGAAGGAGGTGTAAGAACACATGAATTATAGGGGTAAAAAGCAAAAAGAAAAAGGAAATATTTTGCAAATGGCGGGTTAATTAGATTATAAGGACAAAAAGTGAAACAAAAGAAAGAAAAAGGAATTGTAAGTTATTAGGGTAAATTAAACCGATCGTCCCTCGTGCAAGTGCCAGAAAGCACGTTCAGTCCCAATTTTCAAAAATTAATTCGAACTATCCCTCATTTGGTTAAAAGTTGCAAGCTTCATCCCTCTGTACATAAAAAGACCATTTTACCTTTATTTATTTATTTTTGATTTATTTTTCTGTTTGTTTGTAATTATTAATTATTTATTGATTTATTTATTTAAAAAATGGTAAATTACACCAATCGTCCCTCGTGCAAGTGCCAGACAGCACGTTCAGTCTCTATTTTCAAAAATTAACTCGAACCATCTCTCATTTGATTAAAAGTTGCAAGCTTCATCCCTCTGTACAAAAAAAGACCATTTTGCCCTTGTTTATTTCCTTTTTATTTATTTTTCTGTTTGTTTGTAATTATTAATTACTGATTGATTTATTTATTGATTAAAAAAAACTTTTAAAAAGAAATGGGGCCCTAAGCAAATGTTCATAACCTATGCCCCTCTTTCTTCTTCAACACCTCTTATCCACCATCACCACCCACAGTGGCGACTCCGACGACACCTTCGGCCGACTTCAATACTCATGCGACATCTCCGGCCGACTCAACCAA